AGAAAGAAAGAAAGAAAGAAAGAAAGAAAGAAAGAAAGAAAGAAAGAAAGAAAGAAAGAAAGAAAGAAAGAAAGAAAGAAAGAACCACACTGGGATAACTGAGACAAGAGGGTTATGAGTTCTAGGACAGCCTGACTATAAAGCAAGATCTTATCTTAAGAAACAAAGCTGTCGGTACAACTTTTTCATCAACAAAATATTATCTGGAATCCCTGGAATAAAACCCAAGCTGTTCTTGCTCATTAGATAACAAAACACTTGTAGCCTTGCCCAGAACTGTCTTTACCATCAATGTGTTGAAAGGTCACTCAGTGGAACCTTCCAGAATCTAGGTGACCAGTCTTAATGCCAATGATCTGACTAAAAGAGAGTTCACATCTAGAAAGGATTGAGGAGAAAAAAAAATCAAATCCTGGAACAGGGTGCACCAAGGGTTAAGCAAGCCCACCATGGAGGTATGCAACTTCACTGTGTGCTACACACAGATAGAAGCTGACCCAGTGACCGGGCATTCATGCCATTGAGAAACTGTTACAACAGTGAACTGTTGTGAGATTTTTGTTTGTTTGTTTGTTTGTTTTGCATGCGCTGTGTATTCAAAGGCTGGTTTCTGTACTCAGAGATCTGGTGATCTGGCTGTGGTCCTGACTTCGGAATTGACATTATTTGGAAGCACCTCCTGTATGTTGTAAACATTGTTCTCCATCACCTTCTAGTTGGTTAAATAAAGGGCTGAACAGCCAATAGCTGGGCAGAAGAGGATTAGGCTAGATTTCAGAACCCAGTGAAGAGGTTCTCAGGTGGGGACTGGGAGATTACCATGAGGACATGGATGAACAAGGAGATGCCAGAATGACACTAAGATGACAGGTAACAGGCCAGGTGGCCGGGAAGTAGGCCAGGCCAGTATAGTCAGGTTAGAATAGCTCAGATATGCCCAGGTACAGTGCCTGAAGCTTTTAATAAAAATAGTAGGTCTCAAGGAGAGCAACAGAACCAAAACATCTGGGCCTAGAGGTCTTTTCTGAGACTGATAATCCAACCAAGGACCATGCATTCAGATAACCCAAAACCCCTGCACAGATGTAGCCCATGGCAGCTCAGTCTCCAAGTGGGTTCCCTAGTAAGGGGAACAGGGGCTGTCTCTGACATGAACTGAGTGGCTGGCTCTTTGATCACCTCCCTGATAGGAGGAGCAGCCTTACCAGGCTACAGAGGAAGACAATACAGCCAGTCCTGGTGAAACCTGATAGGCTAGGGTTAGATGGAAGGAGAGGAGGACCTTCCCTATCAATGGACTGGGGAAGGGGAATGGGAGAAGAGGGAGGGAGGAGGGGATGAAGGAGGGGCTACATCTGGGATACAAAATGAATAAACTGTAATAAATAAAAAAAATTAAAGAGAAAAAATTAGGTCCCCATGTCATTCTTTGGGAGCTAGGGTGGGCAATGAATCTGAATTTTGTGGTTGTTATTATAAGGGATAGGATTAAATTTTAAGTAAAAATTAAAATAGTAGACAGAACCCCCCTCTGTAAAATTTGGCAGTTGGGTATGATACCTGAATTTACTATCCTCTAGTTAGGGCCTCCTCAGAGCTGTGTTGATGGGGACTGATTCAAGAGTCAACTGTGAGCTCCTATACTTTGGAAGAGGACTGAAGGAGAGGGGCATACACAGAGAATGGCCGTGATCTCAGACTACAGGTGTTAATCTGCTAATGTGTGCTAAATTCAGGATTTGTCTGTCCATTGCATGGGTACTGGTGTCTGAAGAAATACTAAACATTAATTTTAAAAGTGAAAGAATCCTATGTTTTTGGTTAAAACTCACAAAATGACCATCTATATCAACAAGCTGGCCTTGAGAATGCAACGGAAAGACTGACAGATCAATGGTAATTATATTAAGGATATGCAACTCAGGCTATCAGACAAAGGGTGTGGGCAATCAGGCCTTCACCTAGGGAGGCGTCAGTGTAAGGGCTACAAGCCTGGGGAGCAGAGAGAGAGAGTTGGACAACATGGAAGTTGTGAAGGAGGAAAAAATATGCTATGGGATGAAGCGATTGTAACCTGTACATAACAGTGGTCTTTATTGCCCGTGTTGGGTAATCTGTAGCCTGGCCTGAAAGATGAGCTAAGAAACTTGGTCTTTGTCCTATGGGTAACTATGAACCACTGGCAGTTTATACCATATGAGCAGAGTCTCAGAGAGACCTCTTTAGCAGAGATATGGAATAAAATAATACTCATAGACATGAAGAATTGGAAATAAGCTCTCCCTCCCTCTTCCCCCTGTCTTTTCCTTATTTTTATTTTAAAATCACAAGCATTCATGAGCATACCTGCTGGAAGTTTTAATTCAATAACTTCACTAATCACTGAATTTGGACAGTTATTAGTTATTCCTCGTGTGATATGAGGACGGGATCAGTAAAATCCTCAGAGGGATGTGGTGAGAAATACAGTAACATGTGTAACATGCTAAGACTGGTGCCTTGCTCACACTGAGACTGCCAACTGGAAATCATTTCCCTTTGCTGGAAAGAGCCCAGCGTGGTCATGCTCATTTCCCCTGAAACTGGAAACGCTAAGAATGCAGACATCCTAGATGACAGACACCAAATGTGGCCACAAACTTAAAGGATCATAATGTTTATTATAATGTTAAAGGATCATAATGCTCGAAAAAAAGAATAAAACAAAACAAAATTTCTGGGAGGTAACAATCAGATTCTGACAAACACATGCACTGGTACTGAAAACGGTGACAGGAGGGAGATGGCAGGTTTCTTATTGTTGGGCTGGAAGCTTATAGATCAGTCAGGATCCATCAACATCAGCATCCCATTATAATTGACTAGGATTGGACACAGAAGAACTCATGTTTAATTTAACATACATACAGATGGCTACACACAAATACTTCTGTATAGGCGTAGGTACATAGATGAGTACACACACACACACACACACACACACACACACACACACTTCCTTTGTCCCTAAGAGAACTTAACAGAAATAACGCCTCAGCAGAAATAAGCATTGTGGAGGCTGGAGAAATGGCTCAGTGGTTAAGAGCACTGGCTGCTCTTTCAGAGGTCCTTGGTTCAATTCCTGGAAACCACATGATGGTTCACAGCCATGTATAATGGGATTCAATGCTCTCTTTGGCATACAGGCTCGATGTGCAGATAGAGCACTCATAAACTTAAAATAAAGAAATAAGCATTGTCTTTTGGTCCCTCACTGCTTCGTTTCCAATAAATGAATCTCCCTTGAATGCAGATTAAGGGGCTGGGAGACTAGATAAAAAGTGGCCCACGTTAGGAAGCCAAGTCCTAGAAAGCTGGGTCCAAACAACAGTCCAAACAGCGGGGTGTCCATTTCCATGTGAGTCACATGAGCTGATCATGGAACCTCTTTGTCAGAATGAAGGAGGGATGTAAAAGAATGGGAATCCCCAGAACCACACAGGGCTCACAGAAGGGTGAAATCCTCAGTACTACTCCATTGTCCTCTACCAGTGACATTCTGTCCTCTCCCTTCTGGCTTACATTTTCATCACACTAGGTCCCAAGGGTACATGCACATCCTTGTCCAACTCGGATGAAAAGCCCTGTGCAGTTTACAAGGACCACTCTAAGAGCTAAAGGATAATGGCTCTCTTCCCCACTTAGAGCTAGTCCAACAGGATCCCAAGATGTGTCTCCTGGTCTTATTACCTCAGAATGAGCCTTGGACGTCCTCATCTGTGAAGTCTGGGGAAGAAAGCATCTAGGCTGTAGGCAGGCATTGGGTCCCCTGGTCCACTGTGCCTAGGCCACCTAGCTTGTTCAGAAGGCCACCATCAAACAACCTTGCCTTAGTCATTCCTAAAGGCTATTTGTCTGTTTTCTTAGTTGGCTCCTCTTCCTCCTCTTCTTCCTCTCTCTCTCTCTCTTCTCTCTCTCTCTCTCTCTCAAAAAAAAACCTCCCTAGAGCCTCCACAACCCTCTCCCAGAGGCCAGAAAAACCAAGAGTTCAAAACAGATGCTTCATGTAAGGAGGGAGTGTGATACAACAAGAGAAGAAAGATCATTAGGGAATTGATATGGAACACAATTTAAATGGATGACGGACGAGCTGGGAAAGGGGAAGGCGTCTTGACCCTGCAACCCGGTTGAGGGACTACGCTATGTCACTAGCTGTAGATCTTGGCTAATCAAGGTTTCTGTCTTTCTGCCACGTCTAGCTAAGAGTCTCAGCTGAAAGCCCCTTTGCTGTACATGAGGAAGCCCAGAATGTCTAGGCAATAAGGAACTGCCTCCTGGGTCCTCCCCACTGGCAAGGTTGGCCTCTGGAGACCCATTAGTGGAATGACTGTTACTGTCCACAGGGGAACAGCAGTTCCTCATGTCATGGACGCAGTGTCCTCCCAGGAGACCTGTCGACTAGCCCCTGGCCATACTTGAGATAAGAGCAGGAACTCAGGCCTGGAAGCCCAGACACCTGAAGTCATTGCCTACTTCTCGTGGTGCCTGGCATTGGGGGAGACACCTCTCCTATGGCTTCATTAGTGTAGCTCCGATCATCATGATACCAGGGCCAGTCTTAGGGAATATGTTGCAGAATAGCCTTGTTTTACACAAGAAGAAAGAGAATCCAAGATTATCCAAGTAAGATATTCAAGGAAAAC